TAGGGATAAATATAACACGATATTTCTTTGAAATCGTGATATTTTAATTACTTATTTTCCAAGATATTTATATTTATCTTGTACTCTGTTAGATTTTAAATTAAATATTTTAATTTATTTTGCCAGGTAAAGCACGGAAATAAGCTTAGTATATGTTTAAATGTTATGATATAGTATATGAGAAACAGTGTTTATCATTCTCGGTCATATTGTTATATGTAGAAGTAATGGTATATACCTGTACCATTCCTTTTAGACTAGCAGTAGAAGTACGGCAGCTAACTGTCTGCTATGACGAACCTGGAAATAATACATACATATGTATATATGTCATCAATTATTATTAAAACTCATTAGTATTCATGATTATTGTTAAAAGTAAAACGAGATCAAAGATTGTTTAAAAGAGAACTATGTTTAAATCTTGGTATAAATATGACGTCTGGACACACGACGGCAGAGTTTAGAGTTCAGTGAGTGCGTATCATTGAAGTATGTGATTATGAAGAACCTTCGATAAATACAGGAACATTAAGAACAATTGAAGTTTCATTTTAAAATATCATGGAACGTACTGAAACAAGTGACATTAGTTACGTCAACGAGACTTTGTAAAAACATCGAATATGTAATAAATCCTATATATGTATATATATGTTATTCCATAACAAACATGTCCTATTAAATTCTTACAATCATTTTCAACTTTTGAGTATTTTTTCCACTTTGTCCACAAAATCTATCGGGTCAGCTTAACGGATTTTATGTGTATCTTACAGAGAGGGTAGTATGATATAACACAACATAATACTGTTACTTCTATCGGGAGATTTATAAAGATAGTTAAAAGTAAAGGGGAGAGTTAGTTATAATGCTAAAATATTTAAACTTGTATTAAGTTCTACTTATTGTTGCTATTACTGCTTAAACATATACTTAAATAGTTTTTAAATTTAAAACGTCTATATAATGAGGTTTTAAACTTCAACCAGTTGTTAATATTATCATGTTTATACACTTTACATATATAAAGAGATCTAAGATTTACGCGAGTCTTATTCATTTAAATTAAACTAATTATTTTCGATATACTAGGTGAATTTCTTTATGATAAAAACTACATACTCCCGACGTTTCAGTTACTTTACAGAAACCCTGATCATTAACACGAGATGTGAATGTCTGTCAGTTGGTCTTTAATTTCAAGAAATGGGATTAATAACAAGATTATGTAGTTTATATCAAAAATAAAGTCGCGTAGTAAATCCGAAAAATTTAAATTACTATACATATTATAAATATTACTATTATAAAACACAATTCAGTATTTGAAGCTGCGACTTTCCGTTCGTTACGTTTTGTCGCTTCTCAATCTAAGCCATCGTGTCTTGTAACCCTAGTGTAAGTTTTATTAATCAAACTCAGTAAACAACGTTTGACTTTATTCATAATCTGTTTGTAAACTATCGCGATAACAACGAAATTAACGAACTCTGTAACTCTCGTAATGAAAACTTGTAGTAAGTATAAACAAGTAAGTAAGTAATATAACACTTGTTTGTAAACTGAATTAATATTTTTTTGAGTAATGTATTTAATTTATTATATGTAAGTACCTCCTCTCAATGATGATCGAGTCCAGGATCTGTTTCATGTTGATGCGAATCTTCTCGATCTGAAATGTTTTAATAAACATGTTTTATATTATGTATTTAGGATTCTAAAGAAATCCTTATAAAAATATAGTTTTCTTTAAATAAATAACAATAACACCTTAACTAGAGCAAACTAATTATTATCTTAAACCAAAACATCTTAAATTAGTTAAATTCTATTTACAATAATTCAAATCGTGTTCACAGCATACTTTCCCGCGTTAACACGACACGGTCACCTCGCTCAGCTATGAGGACATAATGAAAGAGAAAGAAATAGTGTGAGACAGAGAGAGATATATATATATATATATGTATAATAAATATCGCTCTTCAAACTATATTTCTACCTTTCGTATAAAATGACGAAATAAATGTGTGATAGAAGTGAAATTGTTGATTCCACACACCTATAGTATATATACATATATATTATATACTTTACATATTATGTACACATTTCGAAGTCAAAATTTAAAAATAAGTGAAGTTAGTTCAGCCATTTCATTTAAAGAATATGAGTTACCTACCTGGAAAGTTTTCCGAGAGTTACGAAAATTTACACTTTTATAGATTTTCATGTGTTATGACGCAAGATCAACTTTGTCACCTCGTACATTAGACGCTTGTGACATTTTTTAACAATGATAAGACAAACACCCTTTATAAATAGTATACAAGATAAAAGACGCAACTCATATTTTTCTTATGCACGCCTTCATTGGTCGTCACACCACATCAGTATTAGGTATATATCAAAGAATATGTGAAATTCAATGCAGCACTTGAAAATGCAAGAAAGTATGTCGAAAAGCACGTATAGTGATAATTCTAAACTTCCATAATAATGAAATAGCAAGTAGACTTAAATTGAATGAAATTATCTCCATAATTTTTTATATTGATAAGTTTTTCTTGTAAACAGTATCAAAAACCTTCTTTTGGGTCTTATTTTTTTATTTTTTAAGCAAAGATACGAGTATTAAAGTTAAATTTCGGTAGAAACACATGAATACATAAGATTTCAAATGTTCAAAATTCCCGGTGAACTTACCAAGTAACAAACTATATAACTGCAATACTTTATAAATCGATGTTTTAATAAAATTTCACACTTTAATTTAACGTGGCTTAAAGATTTTAAAATAATAATTATCTGAACACAAAACACAAACTCACTTACAGAACAAGAAAATCTCAAAGAACTCAATTTAATTTGCAAAACACAAAACGCGTCACTACTTTCCCGCTCAACAGTTAACAAACAAATGTCACTTGGGGTGCGTTCCGATGTTTTAAAAGTTCCGTTTAAATTTTGTGTTCCATTAATATTTATTTATTTATTTCTGTAACCTAACAGTGTTTATAATAATAATATTAACAAGTTTAACTAAAAAATACTAAAACAATAAAGAATACAGAATTTAACAATTACAAAAATATATAAAGCAATTTAAACACAAGTCAAGTGTCAAATTTAAAAAGCGCGCGTATGTGTGTGTGTGAGTGTGTTGTGTTATTTCAGTAGTATTTAACAAGCGCATTGCATGTTTTTGGTGACAGTATACTCATTTGTTTTGTATTCTACAATAATCAGAGAAATTTGACAGTTGATTATATTCATAATAATAAATATAAAAGAAGACATATTCAAAGATGGAATGTTATGGTAAGTACTGTGTCGTATGAACATGTATTAAGGATTCCTTCTACTACTATACTACTACAGCTTCCAATTCAAGGTTTCTTCCCTAGTTCATTCTGATTGAACGTATCTTCTCCGGTCTATATCTCATGTTTATTATAATGTGAAGTATTTAACTAATAGGTATTAGGTAAAACGTAAAAGAAAATTGTTTCGTTTTAAATTTAAACACACGGAGTTTATATGAAGAAGTTCATGAAGATATACATATTTTAAATAATGTACATATATATAAAAATGACATACATACACAATTCGTGAACATTCCTCAATGTGTATTGTCACTGAATGTTAACAATTATATTGAAGTAACAAAATTAAAATGTAGAATAATATACTCTTAATGATATCTAACACTTTCGCGAGTATTCATTTAAATAAAACTAATATTATATTACAAATTATTTTTCACAACATACTCACGATGTTTCGGTTATTTCTCATCGACAAATAACGGTTCAAAACAATTATATATGCGTAGTAAATGTGAAAATTATCGTTTTATTTTAATGAATACTCACGAAAATGTTAGTTCTTATAAGCATTCCAAATCAGTCAAACCATTACAGTCGTTCTTGAGTTATAAATAGTGTAACTAACATGACTTTCTTTTATATATCTTACCTCCTGTATAGTTAGTCAGTGGTGCCTAGTGGTTAAGGGGCCCGCCTCTCGTTGCCGAGGGCGCGGGTTCAAACCTGGCAAGTACCAATGTGATTTTTCTGAGTCGTATGTACTTTCTGAGAGTATTTAGACATCACTGACATACGGTGAAGGAAAACATCGTGAGGAAACATGGACTTAATCAAATTATAAGTCTGAAATCACCAGCCCGTGTTGATCAAGCGTGGTGATTAATGCTCAATCCTTCTCCATGTGAGAAGGAGGCCTTTGCCCAGCAGTGGGCTTCTGATAGGCTGATGACCCCTGTATAGTAATCTAAGAACGTCTTCATAAATCCCAGTTCGGCGTGTGAGTAAGGCACTATGTGTATGTTGACCCATCCGTCATTTGTGTTCGGACAGCTCTGGAAATACAAATTAACATGTCACTGACTCTGACTACCTCCTTACTTATACACAGATATATTTGTTTAAACTTAATAGTAGGAATATCTAATCAATTAAATGAAAGTAATATTATTTGGATTACTACCTACTCTCGAAGTCTGGAGTCTGGAGTAGGTACGTACTCGTAGTTTTTAAACGGTTTTTTATATTAATAAAAATACGCGTATGTAGTAATAAGAATAATATTAGTTTCATTGAAATTAATACTCGCGAAAGTATTAGATCTGATTATGACTAATGAATTGTTGGATTAATACGATATATTATTAGTGTGTGTAACGCTTGTGAATTTTCAATGGTTATTAATAAAACAATTGCGAATATTTTTGTGTCTATTTGTGACATATATATATATATATATATATATATAACCTTTCAATCGTTTGTGAAAAAATATATTTTTTATACATTACGTAAAATGTAATATCATCAGCCTATCAGAGCCTCTTCTCACATGGAGAAGGTTAGAAGATTCACCACGCTCGCTCAACACGGGTTGGTGATTTAAACATATTATTGTAAATGTAATATAAAATAGATAAATTAATTTCTATATTTAACAACACTCACTTGATATCCACATCTCTCTCCGAGCCGTAAGTTCGGTGTTAAGACATCCTTTAACAAAGGGTCCGTACAACGAACTACATATTTATAACATCCCTACTAATGTTATAAATGCGAAAGTAACTCTGTCTGTCTGTCTGTCTGTCTGTTACGCTTTCACGCCTAAACCACTGAACTGATTTTAATGAAATTTGGTACAGACATAGAGTTGACCTTGAGAAAGAACATATAAGATAGGTTTTATACCAGACTTTTGAAAGATTCTCTTGGAAACGCGATATAACCGAACTCCACGCGGGCGAAGCAGCGTGCGGAAAGCTAGTATAATATAATTCTGTTCATTATTATAATAAGTTTGTCTCAAAACTATTCGCTTCAAAAACTAACACTAGCGTACACGTCACAGCGTCAAATATAATATTTACAAATACATACATTTATGTAGAAAATGGATTCTTTAAATCCATTTGGTGTTACATGAAATATAAAAATCAGGGTTCAGCTGTGGTTTACAAAAATAATAATTTGTTCAACGGAACCATGTCCCGGGAATGTTAAGCAATATTATATTGTATAATGCGGTTTTCTTTTACAGTTTTTATTTTCATTTATATTGAATATAGTAATAAATGTTTTTATATTTAAATTGACGATAGTTGAAATTTAAGTACACTTTAGTTTAATTTAAATAGATTTAATTTAAAATTATCCGTTGGAAGAATCCGTTTTCTTATGAAATAGATGTCACACTTCACAACTGATAAATCCGTTTATGTAAGTTTATATAATAAAATATAGTGGACAGAAGTTTTTGTCTGTCTGTGTGACTTAGAAAACATAGGGAATGAGTGAAAATATTGAGTATCTTTTACAAATTCTCAATCAGATTTCCATCTTTATCATATCTCTCTACTAAGAGTAACTAAATATTCATTGTGGAATAATTTTAGTATTTTTTCTTCACTAAGATAACAAAGAGACATACTTTCGTAGGTAAATTTAGTGGAGGACGATACTTCATTATAACGTCTAAATATAAAGTTTAATGCTAAGGTTGTAGTTCCAAAGACTGCTTGTGTCGATAGATTTTTCATAATTTTTTTGAAAGTGGTAGATCCAAGCTATGGTCAAGTTACTACAGCTCGAACATGTGCTGGCTCGACCAGGGAAGTACCACACTCTCACAGAACATCGGCGAGAAGTAGTCTTTAATGGATGCGTTTGGTCCGATGAGTGAGAGGGACGGTTGACCTTTCTTATCCCATCCTTTCCCTTTTCCACAGCAAATAAAATTGACAACGCGTCTACAATATCTCTATTGCGGATGTCCATGGGCGACGGTGACTACTGACCATCAAGTAGTAATAGTAAAAAACAAATTAATTCAAATTTCAATACAGTTTTATATAAACACTAGCTTTTGCCGCGGCTTCGTCCGCGTGGTATAGTGACTTCCGGCAGTTTTTTGGTTCTTCCCACATAGTTCCCGTTCTTGAAGGGTTTTCGGAATGGTCGAGTTCCCGTAGAATTTTCAGGATAAAACCTATGTTTTTTTAAGTCACAATGAAGTACTCCTAACCAACAACATATTTATTTGTTTATTTGAATAAAGATTAATATGTTATGTTGATACAGCTTAAACAAATTATTTCGAGCAAATTAGGTATCATAAAAACGGTTTTTGTGAGTTAATATTAAAAGATAGACATATACTGTCGCGGACTGTTTTTTTTGATCATTAAAAGAGCTATTATTCTTTAAAACATATTTTTTGTGTATCTTGAACCGTTTTCACGGCGCACGCAACGGAAGGCTTCAAAGATGAAATAATTTCTCCCGTTTTTTACACATTTACCACTATATCTTTGCTCCTATTGGTCGTAGCGTGATGTTATATAACCCACAGCCTTCCTCGATAACTGGACTATCCAACACAAAAAGAATTATTCAATTCGAACCAGTAGTTTCAGAGATGAGCGCTTTCAAACAAACAAACAAACAAATTCTTCAGCTTTATAATATTAGTATAGATAAACTACTTGTAAATTGAATCTCTAAAACTATAACATATTATTTCCATACAAATGTTGTTCATACAGTCATTCAAATATTTGGTCAGAGCTACAAATGTGTTCCTTCGGGTATAATAAAACATATTTGTATATGGACATTACTAAAAACGGGCGAACATCTCCGGGGAGAGGTGTTGTAATATAACGTACGTGTGGAGTTGAAGACATTTATTAGTCTTGATTACAGATAGTATTTGGGATATTGAATGGTTTATAATGAAATTTTAAATTAAAACTTACTAGTATTTAAATGAAACTAATATTATTTGTATTACTACGGGTATTTTAATATTTACTTTTCGGCTACTTTTCAATCTATGAATTTTAATTCTTGTGAAGGGAATAACGAAGTTACTTAACTTTTTTCATCAGTAAGGATCTTATTTTTAACTTCTGTTTTCAATCATCATAATTCCTCAGAGAATATTCTGGACTTAAACTTTATAGAGGCTATTCATCATGTATTTCTTACTAGCTTTCCGTCCGCAGCTTCGCCCGCGTGAAGTTCTGTTATATCGTGTTTCAAAGAGAACCTTTCAAAAGTCTGGAATAAAAATTATCCTATGTTCTTCCTCAAGATCAACTCTATGTCTGTACCAAATTTCATCAAAATCAGTTCAGTGGTTTAGGCGTGAAAGCGTAACAGACAGACAGACAGAGTTACTTTCGCATTTATAATATTATTAGGGATGCCGGTCACACATGCTACGGTCTATGAGAGAGCCCCACCTGTGCAGGTAGACCGGAATGTGAGTTCGAATAGACCTGTGCAATTTTATGAATGCTACCATTGTAAGATTGACCTGCACAGATTACTTCTCTCTAGACCGTAGCGTCTATGACCGGCATAATCTACAAAGTATATGTAAACTTTTAAATATATCTCATTTTATGTTATTCTAACTTTTGGTTTCACTTCTTCGTGTTAAATCTCCGCAGTTCTTGACGTATGTTAAGTGTGATGGAACGTTATTTTCTTATTTATCTTTGTTTTCCTCTTAAGATACATTATGAAAGAAAACTTTATCTTTTATAAAGCAACCATCAAACTCCTTAAGGCAGCCTTATTTCGTATCCGAAGTATGAAACTTACTTACAGAATAAAATGTACATACATGTATTTGAAAGATTTTCCAACTCGAATTTCTTCTTGTGTTTCAATTATGTTTATTTTATCAAAGTTCAACATCTCTAAATACCAATGAATGTACACAAACAAAATAATACTAAATTTTAGTCAAAGAAATAAAGCAGAGTTTCTCTTAACATATTATTTTATAAAAGGTTTTATTTATTTAAAGGATACGTGTCTCATTTTATTTCGTTTTAAATCAACACCACTCTCACCCTCTGTCTCTCTCTCCACATATTGTAATTACATTTACTAACCCTCCTGTACCTTAAAGACACGGTACATCTCATATGAAGACGAGACAATACACACACACGCACACACACACACACACACATACAAGTATATATATACTATGTACTTTATAAGAGTATTTAGCCACCACTGACAAATGAAGAAAAATATTTAAGGAACATTTACATGGACTTAATCAAATTATAAGTTTGAAATCGCCAACCCGTGTTGAGCGAGCGTGGTGATTAATGCTCTAACCTTCTCCATGTGAGAAGAGGCTCAGCAGTGGGCTCTGATAGGATGATGATAATATAAAGTTATATTATGAAATATTTTTTGTCATTTTCACGAATATTTAAGAACCTTAGTTTGAACTAATACGTCTAACTATCAGTGAACAGTATTTCGTAACTGTAACTGGTCAACAAACGTTACTCTATATATTAGTACTTACATTACCTGTGACTAAATCAAATTTCGTCGTCTCTCAAACTAAGTCTTGTAGTTCAGTAATAATATTAAGTGTCTACATTAGTTGGTCCTGGACTTAAGACGCGAAGATATAATGGATTAATATGTGAACTAGGAATATATTGTTCAGAGAAAACATTAAGAATTATAATAACTTACTAGCTGATCTGACAAACATTGCTTATATAAAAAAAAATAGAAAAAAAATAGGGTTGTATGTGTTTTTAATGATACATTATAATAAACAAAAAATTTCGTCTGAAAAAATTAAGGGTGAACAACCCTTATCACTTAGTCGTATGATAAATAGATAGTAGCTGATTTTCAGAACTATAGAATACGTATATAAAAATTGGTAAAAATAAAATGGTACTTGCCAGGTTTCGAACCCGCGACTTCATGCATGAGAGGCGGACCTATAACCACTAGGACACCACGACATATATATTAATTATTTTGTCTCTCATTTATTTCTTTCAAATAATAATTTAGTTTGAAATAATCTTTTCTTTTTTAACATAAGTAACTAAAAATTATATGAAAAATATATTTTATATTCCACAATTCTGGATTCGAACCTGCTACCTAAAATTATCTATTGAAATTACATATTAAAGAAGAAAAAGAAAATCAAAGTAAAAAAGTGAATTAAGTATACTTATGTTCATTTATTTTGATCTGAAAACTTATACTTTTACTATTAGTTGTACCCATTATGACAGACCCTTCAAGACGGTCTCGTCACTTCAAACCACGTATTATCTTACTAATAATATATTTTTAATACAGTTTTCTATATTTCTGAGTCAGTGGTGGTCTAGTGGTTAAAAGGCCCGCCTCTCATGTACGAGAGCACGGGTTCGATCCTGGCCCTGGCAAGTACCAATGTGATTTTTCCGAGTCATATGTACTTTCTAAGAGTATTTAGACATCACTGATTAATGTTGTTTCCCAAAAGAGGGTTGATGTCAGGCAGGCGGCCGGTCGTAAAAACAATTAGCCAAAACTATTCACAACATGTAGGCAGATCCTGGCTATTGCTGGGAAATTGCCAGGTAGAAGAAGAAGAAGACAGTTTTCTATATATATATGTGTTATATATTGGTTGTAGTCATATCTCGCCTGGTCTCAGTCGCTGTAGGAGCCGCGAGGACTAATTCTCTG